CTGGCTCACAGTCCCCCAGCAGCTTGCCCAGGTATGGTTCCCAGTAGGCCTTCAGCTGCCCCACCCCACGCCGCTCTCTCGTTGCCTGCCTCTCCACCAACTGGAGTTTGTCAGAGAAGGATTCATACTGCTTCAGCTCCTCAGTGTCCTCAGTTATGGTCTGAGACTCTGAGGGGGCAGGGGAAGGCTCGGAAATAGGGTTGGGTGTTGTGGATGCAGTTCCCTTGGAGCTGGATTTGTCAGGCTGAAAGCGCAGCACAATAACACTCGCAGCCACAAAGGAGTACGCCAGGAGGGTGCCGATGGACAAGAACTGAACCAAGGCCTCCAGGTCAAAGATGAGGGCCATGGTGGCCATGAGGATCCCAAACACCAATATAGCATTGACAGGGACTTTGGTGACAGGGTTGACCCGTGCAAAAATGGAGAAGAACAACCCATCATCTGCCATGGCGTACACAATCCGAGGGAGGGAGAAGAGATTACAGAGCAGCACAGTGTTCATGGCTAGAAATGGGAACAGAGTCATTATCAGAACATTATTCAGAATACAGCACTGTGCAACAGATTCATTATTTTGCAAGTCACACATTAGTCTTAAGTCTTTGCACTTAACTCCCAGGTCAAAACAAGCAAGGTCTGACTCAAGACCTGAGTTTCAAATCCCTAAAGAAGTCATAAGGGCGCTCTTCACCAAATGCAAAGCCCTTTTAACAACAGAGCAATGTTAGCTAAGCATTAGCTTGCTTTGTTAGCATTGTCTTCTACTTAATGTTCTTTGTACGACTTCAAATGTTAAATGAAGTTAGATGTTGTTGGGTCTTGGTCTGTAATTTCTGACCCCCATGTTTTGTTCACTGCAAGTCATTTACTGTTGACCGTTGCATAGTTTTTGGACACAGACAAAATTATCTTTGGTTTAAATTTTTCCAATTGGCACTCAGTAACGTAGTTTAACATTCGTTTTTCATAGTTCTCTCCTGCAACTTGATGGGACGCTGTCAGATTGGTTCAAACAAAGTGGATCTGGAAACTTAAATGCCAACTTGCTGGGAATGAATAGCATTAATGTAAGGTTGATTCAGGAAATAAACAGAAATGAACTGATTCGTGGCACACTTTTTAAGTAACATAATTTTTATTCTTTGGGTTTTGGGGAAAGTATCAAGTATTTTCAAGTCAGACAGCTCAAGTCTAAGTGAAGTTATGATGTGATTGGTGTTAGAGTCCAAGTTAATTTGCAAATCTTTTTTGATTTTGTCTAAAGTCATCAAATTTGTGACTCGGACCTGACTCGAGTCCACACTTCCGCTGTGTAATCAATACTACTGCTAACAGACATGCCTACCACATCTATGTTATTATACTTTCTAACAGCCATTTAAATTGTGCTCCTCAATTATAGATTGACACTCACCACAGATGGATCCTACTGCCACAACAATTCCAGCCCAGCTGTAACCGCGGCGGAAGAAAGCATCTGCTAGAGCTGAGTTGGGGTCCAATGTATGCCAGGGTACCATCAACGTGAGCACCGTGGAGACCAGGATGTAAGCTGTTGCTGCAAGTCCAAGGGCGATTGCAGTAGCAATGGGAACAGCTTTCTGTGGGTTCTTTGCCTCCTCACTTGAGGACGCAATCACATCAAAGCCCACAAATGCGTAGAAGCACGTGGCTGAGCCCGCCAGTATTCCAGAAAGCCCGAAAGGCGCAAAACCTCCTTCTTTCTGGCTCCAGTTGGCTGGTTCAGCCAGAACAAAGCCAAATACCAGGATGAAAATGATGACACCCATGCTAATAGTGGAGAAGATATGGTTGAGGTAAGAGGACACTTGGACTCCAAAGGAAATGAAGAACGAGGCAACAACTAGAATCCCTGCTGCAAGGAGGTCAGGGTAGTGGGCAAGGAAGGGCACGTTCCACTGCATAATGTGTGTCTCTGTGAAGTTCTGGATGGCGTGATTAAAAATAGAGTCCAGATAGCCACTCCAGGCACGTGCCACAGCAGCGCCACCAATCATGTTCTCCAGAATCACATTCCAACCAATGAGAAAGGCCCAGACCTCTCCCACGGAGACATAGGTAAACATGTAAGCAGATCCTGTTTTGGGAATGCGTGCTCCAAACTCTGCATAACAAAAGGCAGCCAGTAGAGAAGCAAAACCTGCAAAAAGGAAGGATATGATGACAGCGGGCCCAACCATGTCTTTAGCCACCGTTCCCGTCAGCACATAAAGCCCGGAGCCCACCATGCCACCAACCCCCAACAGAGTCAGGTCCAGGGTGGAGAGACAGCGTTTCAGTGATGTGGCCATCATGTCATCATCCAGTGTCTTGAGTCGGTTCAGTTTCTGACAAAGGTGCACCGCTGGGGTGCAGCCTCTTGGACAAGTTGCCATAGCTACGGAGTTAGACAGGCCAGCTGGGCAGGATGGTGATGGAAATAGTCACACTGGAGCCATTACCTGTCTATGAAGATGACCTGCAGGACAGAGCACAAATGCAATATTGACCAAGAATGCATCAAAAACAGGAAAAAATACTGCATGTATGCTGTGTATTTCACATTCAGGTCAGATCAAGAAAAACAGCATGATATTTGGACTTAATGCACTTTATGTTGATATTTTAGCTGGACACAATGTTCACAATTCCTATAGCATGAAAAAGTAAACATCTTGTAAAGCTTGGTTATAGACATTAAATTGGATCTCATAAACTCTTTCATGCAGTAGACCCCAATGTTACATTTTTAAATGTTAATAGCAGTATGGTAATAGTATTTTGCTTTGTGAGTAGTTATAAAAACAGCATGTTTACTTGCATTATATTATATAAAAGAAATGAAAACAATCCCAAATTAATCCTGCACGACTCAGCAGGCCTTTTTTTAAAATGTAGTCTATCTGGCCGTTTAGCACTTTAATTTAATCTAGTATTTTATCTAGATTTGGCTACGAGGCCTACATATGTGGCACACTCATCACTTAGTGCGCGGCCAGCCAGTCCACGTCATCTAAAAGGCAGCGGGTGCGCTGATGTGTAAAACAAAAGCTTCAGATACTGGACACACAGATGATATATGTCTGATTTGTCCGACTGCCAACAACGTGTTTAAGCTTTTCATCAGTGGGACCCAGTGTCCATCCTCCCGGTCTGGGCGGTGCAACATCCGACTCCTGCCCTCGATAGGCATATGGCGACAACAGGACGCCTCCGTTATAATTACGTAACGCTTTATTCCCCTCTAGAAATAAAACCCCCGCAATAAACTAAACGATTCGCTCACGCTACACAGTCATTTTCATAGTCAAATCACCATAACCACACACCGTATCGTGGAGAGAACAGACGCTGACGGGAATAAACGCTGTTTTAAAGCCAAATTAATAATTTAAAACAAAATGGAAACAGATGCAAACACAGGATTGTCATCAGACTTCCTCTCTCCTGGATGAACTGGATATGCTGAGCGACATCGCACTCTCAATTCGTGCGTGAGCAGGTGTAATTATTTAACAGGATTCCCTTTGTAAGTGCAAAAAGAGAAAGCTCAGTAAAAACACAAGCTATAGGCTACAATCGATGCTTTACCGTTGTTGTTCAGGGTCTCTCATTCGTGCTGCAGCAGGTCCAGTGCTGGGAGAAGTTGCCGGGCTGCATCGTCTGGTGATGGAGCAGAAGGTGCGCCGAGGAATAAAACCAACATGCCCTGCCTGGGCTGCTTCTTAAAGGCACAGTCACCTTCATGCTCCAAGGGCTTCCCCGCTGCGCCCCACCCATAATAATACAGCAGAACGGGACATTAACAGGAGCAGGGGGTCCCAGAGGGGCCCCGGACCCTCACTATATGCGGTCATTCATTATAAATTTAGACATCTTTGAAAGTCATGGGTAGATAAGTACATTAACAAAGTACCTGCATATACTTCAAGTGACAAATGAATGTCATAAAAACAAAATTACAGTGCCAGCCTGGACAGATGTGACCTCAGTGTCCATGAGAGTAGTTAACACGGGCCCAAATGGACACTAGTTATAAGTTATGAAGCAGATTTTGTGCCTGAACTAGCTGTTGTTCAGAGACTTGACATTAGATAATCAGCATACATATTAGCCAGCAATCACTATTTTCTATCTGTATATGACAAAAACACCAAAGAAAATTAGACATTATTCATTTAATTAAATAGTTTTTATAGTTCATATGCAACAGATTGCTACTGACTATTTTACCAAACAAAATGAACCCCAGGAGAGCTGGGTTTGCCTTTTTGAGGGAGCAGCAAATGGCATCAAATTAGTTTAACATGACTCCTTCTTAAAACAAGGATGTAAGTTCTGAGGTGACAATATGATTCACTTGCAAGGGTCTGCTCTCTGTTCTGGACCCCAGTGCAGGCTGTATTTATGCCCCTGAAGGCAAGCATACTTTTGTTTATATTCCAGTGGGCAGCCTTTAAGGCCCTGCAGAGGAACAAAGAGGCCACCCAGAAGTAGCTAGTAGGAAGAAGATGGATGTGATATGAGATCTGTTGTTGGGACCTGGTCAAAGACTTAGCAGCAGCATTCTGGATGCCCTATAGTTCACCTGATGTAAAGATATCAACAAAAAGAAATTATAGTCCAGGTGGGAATAAACAAACACATATATGATCATATCCATATCGGTTTAACACAGAACAGGCCTGGGTGTGCCAGTGTTACTCAGTGAATGAACAGGTGCACGTTTTAACCAGCTCTACATGGGGTGATGAGCAGTGGCAGCCTTCCAGTAAACTCATTTCTAATACAGTGCTACAGAAAATACTAAACTGGGAGAAATTTACAGCAATGTTAACAGAGCTCAGTTTTGTTTAACCATTTACAAAAGACAAAGACATTTTGACACTTTCAAAGCATTTGTTTTACAAAAAAAGTGATGTAATTGAAAAATCAACCCATACAAAGATTTAATGCTTCTGTCTATACTGGTTTTGATCATGTCAGTAATTCAGTGGTTCAATGTTGCTGATTTGTTTATTTATGTGGGACCGTAAACATCAACCAACACTGGCATTTTAAAAAATAATGTAATTGTGAAGGGGTTAGCTCAAGATCTAACGTGCACCTCTGATACCAACACATGTACAACAAACTGAACAGAAAAATACACGATTCACAACAAAGTAGCAAAAATATGAAAAGAAAAAGTGGGAAATGTATTACAATACTGTTGAAATAAATTAACAATAAAGTGTTAAAAACAGAGCCTGAACACTGGAACTGACACTTCAGGCAAAGGCATCACGAGTCCCTCACGGAGAGACCATCTCACTGCAGGAAGACCATGACAGTAATCCCAGTTACAGCCATCTCCGTGTCCTGAAGCAACATCTTCACCCTTTACTATTTAATTTCTTGCAGAGTCTGCGCTCTCAGTACTAAAAGATCCACGACACATCAACTTCCTAATTTCACAATGAGTGACAGTTAAGTGCTTTATAACTTTGTAGTCATGACCTGTCGAGGCTCTCTTCCAGGACTGGAAACATCTTACTTATGAACTCGAGAACCGGCCTTCTCCTACATGTTTTAATGGTGAATATTACACCAATAACAACAGATGTCAAGTGCCACACTTTGACTGTTTATGATGCATCTCACAATTACTGGACTGTGAGCATACACAGTCTGTGGGCACTGAGTGGTTGTTTTCCCCTCTTCTGGCACTACTAGGCCTCGTTCTCAAAGGACTCCAGATTGTGATTCCTTCTGTTGAAGCTTGAGGATCAATTCAAGTAGGTTCATCTGCATCGTCAGCTCCTGAAGTGACACATAAGAGGTTTAGAGCAATTAGTTAGGACATATGTTGCCACCTGCTGGACATTTGTCTGCATCGCAAATTGCATTTGTTTTCTATGCTACCCAGTGAGAAGACTGGTGCATATGTTAACCTGAGGATTAGTGGTGATATAAAATCCAGGGACTCCCGCTTTCTCCAAGGTGTTCTGCTGGTCTATCACTTTTTGATCCATTTCTGCTACTATCTTCTTATCCATCATTCTTTGCTCCTCCCGCACACGAATTTCCAGAGCCTGATGAAACAGCACACAAGTATCAGCAAACCAAAAAGCATTTGCAACAACAGAGATTGGAGAGACTGGAATTTCAGCACCTTACCTCTAGTTCTGCTTGCTGGTTGGATTTGAGAAGCGCAAGGTTGTGAGACTTGCATGACTGCAGGGCATCTTTGTGTTTTCGTACAAGATCTTGTTTGAGTGCTACACACAAAAGGAATGACCGGTCAAACAGGACAGCAACATTTGCATTACAATTTTACACTTAGGGCCTGTTCCAAGGAGCAGGGTTGGTATTTGAGGGAGTTCTTGATTTGAGTGGCTTCCTGTTTTTAGTCAGCAAGTATCTAAGTTACATGGGCTTGCTTTTTGGAATAGGCCCCATTAGTCACTGCATCTTTTTCCAAAAGAGAGCCGAGCACCAACCTTGGTGTTCACAGTGCAGCTTTTGTCTCTGGTTGTACAGATTCTTCTCTGTCAGGTGCTGAATATCCAGGAGCCCCTGCACAATCTCATAGACAGTCCCATCTATGAGTGCTAGAGCCAGGTCACCCAGCGTGCTGTAGGACAGGCGCTGCTGGAAGGAGCTAACCATGGAGGAAAACAAACAAACAATAATCGTCAATATGTACTTTTGAACCACCCTGACGTTGTAGCTCAATCTGATAAGTGGTCATTTGAATTCTGTGAGGTAAGTCTCCCCTAAAGGCAATGTAACATTACCTTGGTAGATCTTTGACTAAGGTTTGCAGCTCAGATAACAGGTAGTAATGTCTCTCTTGATGTTTTGTAGAATCGCCGACGATGACTCCGGGATAACCATCCATCTCCTTAACAGGAAACACAGCAACGGGGCTCTGGGCAACACTAAGCTAACGTTAGCTCCAAGTACAAAATTGGGCTAATTTAACTATTTCAGAGCTAAAAGTTCACAGAAACCAGATGTGTTGGTCGTCTATCGGAGAGTTGACTGCGTCTGAATGTGTTCGTAACTGAAAAAAACACGGTTAAAACAAACAAAAACGTACTTAACTGGAAGAAAGTGACTGTTTTGTAGCTGTTAGCTTACATCCACTCCGAAGAGGACCCCTAGTAGCTGTCTGTCAAGGTGCCTGTCTGAAATAGCGCGTGCAGTAGCTCAATATAATCACCAGGTGGCGCCCTGTATCACAGTCAGGACGCTCCTGGGGACCTGACACTCAGGTATGACCATACATTTACCGGTATTATAAATTGGCACGACAGCGTATCTAAAAAGGCATAAACGTTAATTATTAACAGATTATGAACGATGTCAGATGTGAAACCAACATGCAGTGCTGTTGTTGTGACTGCAGTTTGTTCGATTTTTTATTTCAGGATGGATATTTCTGACGGCTCGTCCCTTTGTCTCGTTTAAAAGACGAGCTGGCACAAGATTGACAACGCCAGGACACAGTCCAGCTGCCCACACTGTGGCCCCACTGTGTGCAAGCTGCTGGATTGACTGGGCTGCATGCGCGCCTGTGTCGCGCGCTACTGGTGGGCTGTGCGCTGTCACGCGCCGAAGGTGCCATGAAATGAAGAAAACTCACTTGCGGAGGGGAAGAGCATTATTTATAAGAGCGCGTATGGGAACATAGGATAAATTGGATTATTAGCTCACTCGACGCAACAATGGCCAAAAACACATCTCTTTATTTCAGAATTGTCGAGGGCAGGAACCTCCCGGCCAAAGACGTGTGAGTAATTTCTGAATGGCATGTGCTTCAAGTCGTATTTCTTGGAATAGCCTCAGCATTGTTTAATTGCTACTTGGTTAATTAGATACGAGAAAAGTTACGGCTACATTTGAAACGCTAATTTCTGGTGCACTGTCTCCTGTAAATTAATTGAGGGAATTAGAGGTGAGATAGTCTGTACTCGGATTGACCGCACTATAAGTGAAGACAACGGAAAATTAAATTAAGGCTAACACCAGGCAAATTGACTATGCTCATATATCTCATGCTGTCTGTTTCTCTTGTCTTGTTAAGCTCCGGAACCAGTGATCCATACTGCATTGTAAAAGTTGACAATGAAGTTGTGGCCAGGTGAGTTCTCTCTCATTAGGCTATAAATGAAGATCTGTATATTATATGCATTAAAATACACGTTTCATACAGAGCTGCAGCTGGAAAACATCCACTGCTCATATCTGAATATCTGTCATCTGCACAGTGGGGATATTTGCAGTAGGTTAGTTTTCTGTCTGAGCTCCCGCTACCTTGCGCATGTAAACCCGGGTGGAGCGTGTATGATCAGGGTGGTGGTGGTGTCCACAGCGTGGCTCCTCCAACACAGTGAACCTGATACTGGTCTGGCCTTTAAAACACCCGCAGGTAACCATGGAGAGGGTGCATCAATTATTGCAGGGAGCTCCTGGTGTAAGGAGAATGCTGGGAGCTGGTTCAGAGGTGTTCTCAGTTTGAATACAAAAGTACAGATGATTTCATCCTCCAGAATATTCAGTTTTTATGAAGCCTTTTTTTACACATCAGCTAGGATATAGTACATTATGTTATTTCCAAGTGGTGCTATTTGATAGTGCCAGATTTCTTTAGAAAAAAAAATGTTTGTTGTGTGCAAGGGCATGGGGTGAATTTAGAGGCTATTGTTCCATCTGGCACTTTAGGGGAAACGGCACAATGATTCACTGCAGACACACACACTCACACTCACACACACACACACACACACACACACACACTAATTATCTGGTACTTGTAGTGTTACTGGCCAACTGACTCCTCGAGTGTGATGTTCATGGATGATGTGGCTGGTAGATTGTGGTGGGGAATAATGGGTACAGTACATTTCAGAAACAGAAGGGCTGTAACGATACACGATAGGTTAAATCTTTTAATCCTAATGATATATGATTAGTACTGATACTAAAACATGACTTTTTCAATATATTTCTTTAAGGGATAGGATATAATATGTTTTTTAAATAAAATCTTTTTATTCAGATGATCTAAAATTGGCAAAATAATAAAATAAATAAATCAGGAACTGATTGTCAAAGTAATATGAATCTGATCAGGCATGTAGTGCCACCTTTCAGGAATTGACATTTTTGATATGGACACATTTCAAATGATATATTAAAAGCATGTAGGTTTGATACACAGCCCTGCTTGTCTTCATAGGAGAACCCTTTTTGGCTTTACATTTTTATTTTATTTTTTTAAATAAAATAAAAAGGAACTTAAGCTGCAAACACATTCATTTCTAAATTACATAATTAACCACGTGTTACCTTGAATTGGTGAAGACATCACTGTTTTTCTCACATGCCTCCTCAGTGAATGGAGAATCCAAACAAAGGCAAACATTCTTCATGATGTAATGTAATTAGGGTCTGCATTTAACAGCAGCAAAACTAGCAGCAATCTCTCACACAACTTGTGCAGTATAATCCAAGTTTCATTTTTACAGTCACATGCTCAGTACTTCCCAAATACATGCATTTCTGCCAAAACATTTAAAACAGGTCAATACAAACTGTCTCACCAAAGAATGTGCATGCCCAGGCACACTCAGGGCACAGAGATGTACTGTAAATGTGTCAAATCTTAATGTTTTAACAAAAATGCATTTGTTTGGAAGTGCTGAGCATATGACTGGATAAATGAACGTGGGAATATACTCCACAAGTTGTGTGAGAGTTGGTAAATAGTTGTTTTGATTAGTTTTGCAGCTGTTAAATGCCAACACATTCTCACTCTGACCTTGTCACATATTGACATTTGGTCATGGACTTTCCACCTCTACATACAACGTGCAAGGTAGCCTGGGTGTGTTGGTTGTTGACGTTCGGCGACATCGTGTCAGCCATCGTGCCTGTTACATGCACTGTCTTCTTTCAACATACACTTCCGTTTTCACAGGAATTTTAATGTTTACATACAGTCTCTTTCAAAATAAATGCACTACATCAGAACAACACCACAAACTGACTTTTTTTTCCTTCAACAAAAAAACACACATGGTTGGGTTTAGGCAAAAAAAACCCATGTGGTTAGGTTAAGGAAAAATAACAGTGTTTGGCTTTAGAGTCTTACGGGACACAAACACCACTCTCTCGGGTAAAAGTCTGTTTGTTGGGCCCATCCACCACACCTGCTGCCCACCACATTTGGCCTTTCGCTGCCTTAACTTTCATCTTTGTCCCACTGCGTTTCCCCCTCACGCCGCTGGGCACCGTCAAATTATAACGGCAACTAGCTGTGTATCATGCCGATGTTTAAGGACACCTTTTTTTCGTTGATTTTTGATGCCAAAAGTCACTGCCCAAGCACCGGATTTTGACAATTTCGGAGTGAGATCGAGCTCTAAATGCAGACCACGAATACTTCAATTCATGAAGAATATTTGCTCTTTTTGGATCCTCTGTTCACTGTGGGAGCACATGAGGAAAACAATGTTTTCTTCAATAATTCATGGTAACGTGATGAGTAAGTGATAGACAAATAATACTTTGTGGGTGAAGCATTCCTTCAAGACTCCTTATGAAATGACATATACAGAAAGCTTACTGAATCCCACTTGCAGCCTTCTATAGTTTTTAAGCAGGACATTTTACCTTGGTGCACAGCACTGATTCCTCGCTGGCTATTTTAGCATAATGATCCCTTAAAATAATGCAAGTTGTGAACAGATCCAAAAAAGTAGGATTTCCCAGATTGTTTCATTTGAATAATTTTAAGGACCCAAACAAGTTAAACTATCCAGTATATCACAAAACTGCATAATTGAGATAAAAGTCGGTAAAGCAAACCAGTGGCTTTTTCGTCTTTCCTCTGCTGCGAATCATCTTGTGATCTCTTGGACAGATTCCAAACCAGAGTCATATTTGCATATTACTCAAAAAAGCATTTATAATCTGTCTACCCTCAGTTACACTTACAAAGTGAGGGTTTATACAGCTGCCACATTTACAACTACAGTAGTCGCAGACCAGCTGTGTGATTTTCTCCATGATAATAATTTATTTGAGGAATTTCAGTCAGGATTTAGAGTGCATCATAGCGCTGAGACAGCACTAGTTAAAATTACAAATGACCTTCTGATTGCTTCAGACAAAGGACTTATCTCTGTACTTGTTTTATTAGATCTTAGTGCGGCGTTTGACACAATTGACCATCAAATTCTACTGCAGAGACTGGATCACTTAATTGGCCTAAAAGGTTCTGCACTAAGCTGGTTTAAATCTTATTTATCTGATCGTTTTCAGTTTGTTGACGTTCATAATGAATCATCCTTATGTACCAAAGTTTGTTTTGGAGTTCCGCAAGGTTCAGTGCTCGGACCAATCCTATTTACTCTATATATGCTTCCTTTAGGTAACATCATTAGAAATCACTCTATAAATTTCCATTGTTATGCAGATGATACTCAGTTGTATTTATCGATGAAGCCAGAAGAAAGTAATCAATTAACTAAACTCCATAACTGCCTTAAAGACATAAAAACTTGGATGAGCACCAATTTCCTGATGTTAAATTCAGACAAAACTGAAGTTATTGTTCTTGGCCCCAAACAACTCAGAGACTCTTTATATGATGACATCGTTTCTCTAGATGGCATTGCTCTGGCCTCTAGCACTACCGTAAGAAACCTCGGAGTAATATTTGATCAAGATTTGTCTTTTAATTCTCATTTAAAACAAACCTCACGGACTGCATTTTTTCATCTGCGTAATATTGCGAAAATTAGGCCTATCCTGACCCGAAAAGATGCAGAAAAATTGGTCCACGCTTTTGTTACCTCTAGGCTGGATTACTGTAACTCTCTATTATCAGGTAGCTCTAGTAAGTCCTTAAAAACTCTCCAGCTAATTCAGAATGCAGCAGCACGTGTACTAACAGGAACTAAGAAACGAGATCATATTTCTCCTGTTTTAGCTTCTCTGCACTGGCTCCCTGTAAAATCCAGAATTGAATTTAAAATCCTACTGTTAACTTATAAAGCTCTAAATGGTCAAGCTCCGTCATATCTTAGAGAGCTCATAGTGCCATATTATCCCACCAGAACACTGCGCTCTGAGAACGCAGGGTTACTCGTGGTCC